TTCTTGAACATGGCGTATCTCTCTATTTACATTGTCTTCAATTTCTTTCATCAGTCTTTTGTAGTCTTCAGCCTACGGATCTTAAACATATGTTGTTTATTTCTTTTAGATTGGCAGCTGAGCTAATATCTGTTGCCAGTCTTCTTTTGCTTTTCCTCTTCTCCCCAAAGCCCCCCAGTACATAGTTGTATACTCTAGTTGCAGGTCCTTCTGGCTCTGCTATGTGGGATGCTGCCCCAGCATGGCTTGATGAGCAGTGCCATGTCCGCATCCAGGATCTGAACCAGCGAAACCCTGGGCTGCTGAAGCGGAGTGTGGGAACTTAAGCGCTTGGCCATGGGGCCACCCTGAACATATGTGCTTTTTTTTGAGGAAGATTAGCCCTGAGCTAACATCTACCACTAATCCTCCTCTTTTTGCTGAGGAAGACTGGCCCTGAGCTCACATCCGTGCCCATCTTTCTCTGTTTTATGTGGGACACCTGCCACAGCATGGCTTGACAAGTGGTGTGTAGGTCTGCGCTCATGATCCAAACTGGCAAACCCTTGGCCACCGAAGCAGAATGTGTGAACTTAACCACTGTGCCATCAGGCCAGCCCTGAATGTGTTTTTAAAACAATTTTTTGTCTATGTTTTCATGTTTTTGGTGCTATTGTATTTCCATTTAGCTTTTGCTAGTTTATAGAAATAAAATTGAGTTTTGTATGTTAACCTTGTACTCTGCAACCTTGCTGAGTCCCTTATTATAATGTTTTTGGTAGCTTCTATAGATTTTTTTGGTACATTCTTTGGGATTTTCTACACAGAAGATCATTTTGTCTGGAGTAGACACAGTTTTAGTTTTTCGTTTTCAATCTGTGTGCCTTTTGTTCCTTTTTCTTGCCGTATTGTACCAGCTGTGTTCTCCAGTGTGACGCTGGCCCTAGTGGTGAGAGCAGTCACCCTTGACTTGTTCTTCATCTTGGGTGAAAAGCAGTCTTTCGTCATTAAGTATGATATTAGCTGTTTCATTGTTGTCTTTAAGATGCCTATTATCAGATTGAGGCAATTCCCTTCTTTTCCTAGTTTTCTGAAAGTGTTTATTAGGAATGGATGTTGAATTTTGTCATCTGCATCTATTCAGATGATCATATGGCATTTCTCTTTTAGTCTGTTAATATGGTGAATTATATTGATTGATTTTCAGATGTCGTACCTGTGTTCATTCCTGGGATAAAGGCCCCTGGGTTGTGATTTTTACCCTCATAATGCGTTGCTGCACGTGATTTGCTCATATTTTGTTGAAGATTTTGTGTCTGTGGTCATGAGGGATACTGACTTGTTTTCTTCTGCTGTAATATATTGATATGTTTTTGGTATTAAAATAAAACTGGCCTCATAAAAGATTTGGAAAGCGTTCTCTCCTTTTTTATTCCCTGGAACAGTTAGTGTAGAAATATAGTTATTTCTTCTTTAAATGTTTAGAATTCACCAGTACAGCTCCCTGAATGAGGAGCTTTCTTATTTGGAAGACTTAAAAACACACGTTCAGTTTCTGTAACGGACATGAGCCTGTTCGGGTTGTCCGTTTCTTCCTGAGTGAGCTTTCACGGGCTGTGTTTTTCAAGGAGTAGTTTGTGTCTCTTCATTTCATCCAAGTTGTTGAATTTATGGACGTAAAGTTTTGTGTAATATTTTCTTGTTATTTCTGTAAGGTCTGTAGAACCTGTGGTGATATCCTTTCTTTCATTCTTGATATTGGTAATTTGCGTCTTCTCTCTTTTTTTCTTAGTTGGTTTGGCTAGAGATTTATCACTATTATTGGTTTATTCAAAGAACCAGCTTTTGGTTTTACTAATTTTCTATATTGTTTTTCTGTTTGCAATTACATTGATTTCTGCTCTTACTCATATTTTTTTCCTTTTGCTTGTTTTGGGTTTAATTTGCTGTTCTATTTCTAGTGTCTTAAGTTGGAAGCTTAGATTATTGACTTGAGAACCTTCTTTTCTAGTATAAACATATTTAATATTTATAAAGCAAAAAGTGCCTGCCCTTCATTGCTTTCCTCTGGCTGCCTGCTTTCCACCCTGGAGGCACCAGTGCTGTCTTTTCAGTATCTTTTCACAGATAGTTTATACATGTACAAACAAATATATGAGAATATTATTTTTACTCTTTTTTTAATATAATTACTAGATTACATTCTAGCCATTATGTTTTTATTCTTTCTTTTTTTTTTTTTTAAAGATTTTATTTTTTCCTTTTTCTTCCCCAAAGCCCCCCAGTACATAGTTGTGTATTCTTCGTTGTGGGTTCTTCTAGTTGTGGCATGTGGGACGCCGCCTCAGCGTGGTTTGATGAGCAGTGCCATGTCCGCGCCCAGGATTCGAACTAACGAAACACTGGGCCGCCTGCAGCGGAGCGCGCGAACTTAACCACTCGGCCACGGGGCCAGCCCCGATGTTTTTATTCTTTTTACATATTTTGTTGTGGAGAATTTTACACTTTGCAGTTTGTATATCTTAAGTGTCTTTTAGCCTGAAGATTTCCCCTTCATCATTTCTGCCCTGAAACCATTAGCCTTGTCCAGTAATGGTAACCCTCTTTCTAAGGATTCATTTTTAAACAGTTTTTATTGAGAAATAGAAAACACCTACAGAAAAATACATAAAACGAAGTACAGTTTAATAAACTATTGTAAAGCAAATATCCCACATACATACTACGGAGGCCAAGAAATAGAATGCTCTCTGACCTGGAAGCCCCTGTGTTGTCCTTTCTGCATTACAACCCTCTTTCTTCCCCCAGAGGTCATCAACAGCCTTATTTTTATGGAAATCTCTTCTAAGATTAATTTTTACTTTCGCCTGTGGAATTTACTGGATATTATTGCATCCTGAAATCTATGTGTGCAAAAAATATTTTGAGCAAGTTTACCTTAAAAAACATCCTTAGTTGTGCAGCCAGGCCCCACTCTGCGGTCAGTGAGCACTTCCTCCTCGTTCCTGCTCTGCTGACCGTCAGGCATGCTCACGCTCACTCTCACTGCAGGAATGTTTTCTTTCATTGCTTCATTTCTCTAGGCCCCTTTATTTCAGGATAGAAGCCACATCCATCGGTGTTCCTAGCTGTAGGCAATAGAAACCGTCTCTGGCCAATTTATTAAGAGAATATGGGTGCCCCACAGCCTCTCTGAAAAGGTTGGGAAAGTATGCTTGAAGACCACGGCGCCAAGAACAAAGCTCAAAATCTACCACAAAACTGGTCTCATGAAGCACCTCTGCCTGTCTCTGGGCACAGATATTGCTGTGAGTGCTCCAGACACCAGGGATGCTGGGCTGTGGGTGCTGCCACAGGAATCTCTGTCCCTGCCGCCTCAGGACCCTGGATGGGACTGCCCTGACTGCTGCCGTCCTCACCAGGTGGATTCTTTGGAGTTCCTGCTTCTGAGAACTTAATCATTTTCTAGTTGAAGTCTAGAATGGCTGCATCTTATTCGTGGAGTTTGTGTTATGTGACATATCTTAGTTTCGAGGAAAGATGGGAAAGCAAATATCTGGGTTTTTTTTCTTCTTACTTTGGTGAGAAATGTACTTGTCTCATAAGGAGGGTGTGCTTAAGTGTAGACTCCGCATTTGGGTAGTTGGCAACCAAAAAGGAATGTGCGCTGTAAAAGTTCTGTGTCAGTCTAAGAAGTCCATTCCCTTTAACATAGTTGATGCTCTTTATAGCCACTCATGTTGCTCATATTATGCTATGAATATTTGACATAGGAATAGTCCTTATATTGCCAGCTGTCGTATAAGACGTGGAGTAGGGTCTGTGTTTCTAAAGAGCTGTAAATTTTAAAAATGCCATCCTAATTTTAGCTAATTGCAGGAATTTGTATTTTATCTTATATACTTAATAAGACATTGTAGTTAAAAATCAGATTGTAACAAACATTGGTATTTCCTGGCGATGTTTTCACCGAGAACCTTCTGGCTAATGGACCATTTGCCTTTTTTCAGGTGTGATCTAACTGTATACAAAGAAGTTTTGGAAAATAGGAGACACTCTGTTAAGACCATTAGTAGAGATAAATAGGATGACGCTTGCTTTTCAAAACCAAGATGTTGTAGTTCTCATTACTGCAAAGAAATTTTACTCTAAGTGACTATGAAACTTTGTAAGCATAAGCTTTATAAAATTAACACAAAAGCCCATTGTTAATTTACATATGATGACTTTAAAAACTAGCGAGTGAAGTTTTCATCTGCTGTGAACCCAGGGCAGAGTTGAATGGATGGAGTAGGGGTCGTGTTGGGCCAGGGGGCCTTGCTGATGTTGTCTTGGCTCTGCTGGTGGTGTGCGGCATTACTGTGGGTAATTCATTTATGCTCTCCTACATTTGGTCCTTCCAGCTCCTGAGAAAGAATTCATGTCTGTCTCTTTCCTTCACTTTTCTCACGGTGGTGGCATGGGAAGATCTGAGACAGATATGATTGAGCTTTGTAGAATAAACACGTGGTAACATAAAAGTTGTCACGGTAAAAACAAAGATGAATGTACTATAAAATCTTTACAGGAGTGTGCACCCTGTTGATTTCATATATAACAACAAACTGTTGTTATAGCATCCTGATGAAAGACACATTTCTGAATAATTATTCAAACCAGGTGGTGCCTCAGTTTTGAATATTTAAGAATACCTCAGGTCTGGATTTAATGGGCTAAGTTGATAGCAAATTTATTTATGGTTCATCCATTTGGCCTCTGCCTATACAGCCAGTGGAAATTGCTTTACGGAATATTTCTAAACTCATTTCCAAATAATTCAGGTTAGTTTTAGCACTGTTCACCTAGCGTAGGTGAAGCCTGAATAACTCTGTAGTCCAAAAAAGTCCAAGGTTTCTAAATGTGGTAATATTGTAACATAGAAGGGTAGGAATCAAATTACTGGTTGCCCAATGTTTAGTGATACGTTTGATTGCTTTTGTGGTTCCAGATAGCAATTATTTCTAATATAATTTATTTTGCAGTGAGGGCCGAGGCAAGTTGACGGTATTTTCAGTTAAAGCTATGTTAGCAACCATGTGTGGTGGAAAAATGCTGGACAAATTGAGATGTAAGTATTTTCATATTATTTGAAAGATTTTATTTTCAAATTAGGACTTTTAAACAGTTTGAAATGAATGTTTTCAGAATTTTGGATGATGCAGTATTGAACTTCTTTGTTTTTTACCACATCACTCACTTTGTAGCAGCTGGCTCAGAGTATGTAAGTTATGCCACCTACTGTTCACATGGAAAAGTTGGTTAAATTGATTTATTGTTAGTATCTTTTTAGTTTAAAGCAAGAAAACTGAAGAGATTCAGAATAGTAATGTTGACATTTAAAAAATTCTTTAAAAAATATTTTCCGTATTACTAAAAATTATACTGGAGATAATTACGTTGATTGCTCTTAGTTAGAAAATGAATTTGATTACTTTCCCGAGGTTTGGTCAACTTTAGCCCTTTTCGTAATAACTCCGTTTTTCATCAGGTGGCATTTCCTGTGATTAAACTGTTCTTTCCTTTCCTTAGAGTCACGCTCAGTTATTTAGAAACTGGTGCCTGTTTTTTCAGTTATCCTTCCTTGAGTTTTTTTCTTGCTGCTGGCCATTTTGGCATTTTACTCACACTCGATACTCTAAGAAGGTGGTTAGATGAAGTCAAAGGAGATGATATTTACAATTGTTTAATTTTTCTGCTCATGGTTTCCAGTTTTTCATTCATTAGATGGTTAGTAACTGCCTCGATATGCCTGTGTTTTCTCACTGAATTGTTGAGATGTCTTTGAGCAGCAGGTGGTATGTACTCGATTATATAGGTGAGGTAATTGCTGGGGGTGAAGTTGGGATTGCGGCTCAGGCTGTCTGGCTTCAGAGCCCTGTTCTCAGTTACTTTGTTGCGCTCCGTTGTACTAGTCCTGTAATGGGAGACACATGGGATGCACTGCCGAGACCAAAGTGTGGTAATACAAGCACCCGTAGAGTAGGAAACTGGCAGGTTTCAGCGAGGTGAGGTTGAAGCTGTGGGTTTTAATGAAGCATTGAGATACCCTGTGAATTGATTTATTGAAGAAACTGGGTCATCTGTCCTGTAGCATTTCTCATAGACTGGATTTTAATGATTGCATCCCCATGATGTTCCTCTGTGGCCTCCATTTTTTCTTTTCTTTTAATTGAAAGATATAAAGTCTTGATCAGATTCAAGTACAAGCTTTTGGGCAAGATTCTTCATAGGTGCATTTGTTTTCTGTGCTTTTTCTTACATCTTCCCATGACATTGAAAGTTGGACAGCTAGATGGCTCACTAGATGTAGATTCAGATGTTCTAAAGGAAGACAGTGGATAATATGTTTGATCGACTGTCATCTGGCTTATCTTCATTTCAAAATCAGCTGCAATGTAAAACAAACTTTCGGTAGTAAAAAGTACAGTTTTATGTAAATACTCTTCTGAGTTTTTTTTTTCACACTATCTCAAAATATTACTCTTTTGGGCTGAAATTTCTTAATATTTTCTTAATTCTATCATTTTTTTGAGGGAGATCCCATAATATGGTTGAAATGTAATTGCAAACATAAAGAAAAAGAAAGTTGAGATTTTGTCTGCTTTTTAATGATGATGATACCAGATGATACCGTCTGTATTAGTACTGGAGAAACTGGTTGAAAAATAGAAAATCGGTTATATAACTGCACATTGTAGATGACATTGGAATCTTTACGTTTCCATGATTAAATCTGCTCTGTTTACTCTGGATTGGTACCTGCCACATAGTAAGTGCCAAAATTTCGCCAAATATAAATTGTTGATCGACTACTAAAATTACTGCCATTTTTTTGTTGTAGCTGTTAGTGAGGAAGTACAATTCTAGCACTATGTGAAGTATGGAGGGATCCAGGTGGTAGTTTCTTTTGATATATGGCTTTTGAACTTCTTGGAGGAACGCAAGTGACTAACAGTGAAGTGTCACAAAGGTACTCATGCCCAGGCAGACGTAACGTCAGTGTGCTCAGAATTCTAGGTCGTTTCACATCGTATATGGGTTGATGAGATACAAGCCCTACTGGGTCACTAATTATCAGTTTATATTATTCAGACATTTAAAATATGGTTTCTTTATCTTGTTTGTGTTCAAAATTATAGTTTCTTTACCATCTGTAGCTCTGTTTCATTACTTTTTTTGTACCATAATTATCTTGGCTGGAGAATGAAGTATTTAACAAAAGTAAAATTTTCAGGTATTGAAGCCTAGCTCCACTTTTTAATCTTAATCATCAGGGTGAAAACCACTTTAAATGTAGTCTGTCCCTCCTGTTTTGCAGAGCTCACTGATCATAATTTAAACATTTTTCATCTCTTAGGGATGCCATTCTCTGATGCATTCGTGGCTAATCGTGAGGCTCTGGGTTGGTTGTCCTGTCTCAAGTTTTCAGACTACTGTGCTTTTTCAGTTCTTGAGCTTTTTGGTGTTGGTACATAGTGGTGGTGGTGATGGTGTGTGTGTGTGTCCTTTATCACTGGTGAATGTGTTGGTGTTATCACTGTACCAGTCTCTAGAAGTCTGTCTTTGCTTCTGACTTAGTTTTAATATGCTACTGACAGAGAAAACGTAACCAAACTTCTTAGCATTCTATTTAACATCTGGACGTAAGTGATTACTTACGTGTTAGGAGAGAAGCACGTGAGCTCTTGTATGTGATTGGTGGTTTTGGCTGTTGTGAGAACCTGTGTTTCCCTGGCTTTCTAGGGCTCAGCTGTGTCGTGCTTAGTTGAGGTGGCTGAATATAGTGTAGACAGAAGTGAGGTAGAACACTGTATTGTAACATCAGATGATATTTGACCGTTTATTCACTTTCTTCTCCCTACTTATTCCATTGTCTTTGTTCTTGGTTTTTCCATCTCCCTCCCACTGACTGCACTCTCTGCTGTTACCTCTCTTAATGTTCCTGTTAAATTAGGTTTTCTAATTTGTGGAATATGCCTTAGTGTTTCCACTTTTCTTCTTTTTATTTTTATCTTTTATTTTAGAATCTTTTTCCTTTAATTTTTTCCCCTCCTCCTTTTTCACTTAGTATTTTTTGTTTGCTTGTTTTAGTGTCGAGATAGCATTTGAAATAACCAACATTTATGCTTTTAGTTTGAAACGTTTCTTAATTAGATTTTTCAGATCTCTCTTAAGAGAGTTTCTGTCCCCAGGTAACATTCGTCTGTAGAAGTGGTTTGCTGTTGCGGCCGTTAGGGACTGTGTCCCAGATTCAAAGTTAACTTAGGGTGCTATTCTAAGTACCAATGATTTGTAATCAGAATACAGACTTTAATTATAAGCATGATCAAAACTCGATGTCAGAAACCCACAAAATAACTCAGAGAACAAAATTTTACAGACTCTAAAGCCCATTATTTATTAAACCATACTGGTCAGTTAATTTATGTGATTTATTTACTTTGTCTAATTCTGTTTGTTTTCTAAGAAACTTAATCTCCTCTTATTCAAACCCCATATTTCTTGCACTAAAAGATAGGAGCAGATGATTCATGCAATTTATTTTTAAATTCTTTAAAAACCTGGTCCTACTCCTTTGAAGGGCAGTGTAACAGTATGTATCAGGAAGGCTGTAAAAATATTTGTATCCATTGACTCAGTCTCCTTCTTGAGTTTATCCTGTGGAATTAATCAGAGATGTACCCCAAGTTTTATGTATATTTGTCACAGAATTTTTTATTATATGTGAAAACATGAAACAGCTGTAGGGTCCAAAAATGAAAGCTCAGTTAAATTTCAAGATACTCACATAATTGAATATAAGGTCTTCAAAAATATGTTTCAGACCAAAATGCATAAATGTAATACAATTTTAAACAAAAATTTATTATGCACGTAGAAAAAGAAATGTAACAAAATGGTGACAGGTGTTTTCTCTGGATTTTAGCTTAAGAATGGTTTTATAATAATAATAATTTATATTGCTTATCTTTCTGTGTGTTTTTGATAGACCGCACTTTGAGTAGCCAGAGAAAAGATGATCTGAGGTTCTATCTGTTTCTGCCCAGAACTGGCAGTTCTCACTGACATTTCAGTTGTCTGCTTCCTTGATGATTCATTAACAGCCTGTAGAGGGGTCATCTTTTGAAGTTATAATTAAATAGTTTCACCTGTTCAGAATTGAGCTGCTTCTGCTATAGTCTTTTAACCACCTGTCACTGCATATTTATCCTATCTGGTTTCTGTTAACCTTCCCTTCTCCTCATTAGATGGAGGTGACTGTTTAATCTGAGCGAGTGATGCCCACATTTACATTTCTCATCTAACCAAAATGTTCTAGAACTGGAAGCAAGAAAGAGAGAAGTTCTAAATCTGTATTTTATGAATAAGAAAAAAATGAACAAAAACCTAGGGAGGCCTGGAGACTTGTGTAAGGTAGTTCCTGGCTGAGTGAACACTAGAAGCCCGAGGCAAGCTGGCTCCCCTGCTCCAGCCTCACTCTAACTTCCCGAATGATTTGCGAAGTTTGGGAATAAGGTATGCACTTAGAGTTAGTTACGTACAGGTATTTATACACATGCCAATGTGTGTGTGTTTCTGTGGGTTAGGTTGCTCAGTTGGTAGAAAAATGACAGGAGGCGAGGGTCATTTGTCAGGGAAAGCTAACGTATAAAAGAAAATGGTTCTCCATTTATAGACCTGACTCTTTATTGTAAACTATCATCTTGCAAAAGTGAATGACTGGTCATGTGGGGACAAGAAAGGAGTGGGTAGATGCAACGAGTAAAACCAGGGTCATTGTCATCAGAAAAAAGCATTTGAAACATGTGGTGATGGTAGAATAGTAGCATTATTTTCCTATTACACAAGGGACAGATTTTTTTTCCTCCCCAAAGCCCCCATATGTAGTTGTATATTCTGGTTATAGGTCATTCTGGTTCTTCCGTGTGGGATGCTGCCATAGCATGGCTTGATGAGTGGTGTGTAGGTCCGCACCCAGGATCCGAACTGGCAAACCCTGGGCCGCTGAAGCAGAGTGCGTGAACTTAACCACTTGGCCATGGGGCCAGTCCCAGGACAGAATTTTTTTTTAAATGTGTACGCATCTGTATTTAAGGGCTTGATTGTGAGTTTTTCACAAGAGAGAAAGCCTACATTTTTATCTGGAAACAACTAATGGGGAATTAGCATACCTTCTTTCAGAGGTATATAAATAGGAAGAGTTACTGGGGAAATTAACCAGTGATCTGGGAAGTAATTTAGTCCCTTAATGCAGAAGGGTTTAGGGATTTAATTAGAGGACTAGTTTAATTTTTTATTAAATTTTGTTGTCTCATTTCTTTGGCGAGATCTTTTTATATGTAGTAACTCACACTAACTTAGATTCATTGTTATACTTTATTTAAGGTAAAGGAAATTAGCAGTAACTTTTCAGTGTTTTTCTTATAGATAAGAGAAGCCTAATCTATGAAAAAATACCAGTAACTCAAGAAGTAATGGATTATTTCACTAAGCCTTCAATTTTAGGGTCTAGCAGTATTTCTGTTATTAAAACAAACAGACAAATATGTTTCTTCTTGTTCTCTTACTATTGTAATATGGTCCTATTAAGTTATAGTTTGTTTTTTAATGGATTTTTAAAAAAATTTACTACTTTAAATCTATTAGATGATGCAGTAAGTATAATTGAAAATACTGCTTTTTCGGTGGGTTGGTAAGTCATTTTCCTATCCAGTCACTCTCTTCTTTTCTTACTCTGGATGAGCGAGGTGTAGATTTGTCACTGGTGGTATATACACATATGTTTTCTTGGTTGCGAAGCTAATACATAGGTGTATTTATGTACTTGGTAGCTAAAATCTCTGGTCTTGAATATTTCCGTCATTTAGTTAGTGGCTACAAGTTAACAACTTGCTAGTTTATGTTATGAATACATTGAGTAGCAACAGAAAAATTCACTAACAGTGGCTTAAACACATTGAGATTTGTTTGTCTCATGTGAAAATAAGTCCAAAGGCTGGTGAGTTCGAAGTTGGTACCATGACTTAAGAATGTCATCAGAGACTCGGATTCCTCCTGTCTCCCGCTCTGCCCTGTGGCTTTCCTCCTTAGGGTGATAGGTGACTGCTCTACGCCAGGCCCCGTTCAGGCAGAAGGAAGAAAGAGATGCCTCTCTCAGGAAAGCAACAGCTTTTGCAGAAATCCACTCCAGAGTTTCAGTGTGTGGCAGAGAATGGGAAGTCATTTTTTAAGTGGAGCACATTGCCGTTCTCAGCACCATCAGGGTTCGATTGGTGAGTGAGAGGGGAAAATAGATACTGAGTGGTGGACACCTTGCAGCGTCTGCTGCATCCCATATCAAGGTTTTGTTTTCATTCAGATTTAATGGATGATTATTTTCCTCGTTATAAGAATAGCAGCCACCTATTTCACAATTAAGTCACTATGCTCTTCCCTTCTTCAGAGGGCATCAGTGTTTCGCATAATTGGTAATGCCTTCAGAGCTCCGTGTCTGCAGTCTTGAGCTGTGGCCCAGTGCTCTTCCTTACTGCCTGCAGGATGGTCCACTTGGAAATGTGCTGATTTGTTCAAATACTGTTATGTTCAAAGCCAAGTATCTTTATCTTCAGTTTGTTTATTTCAATCATGGTTGCCAGTATTTTCCCAAGCTAGAAACTCAGAATAATCCTAACTTTTAAAATTCATTTATTCTTCAATCCAGTTTGCCATCAACTGCTGTTTCCTTCACTGAAATGTCTTGGAGTTGACCTCCCCCCATCACATACCATCCCTCCTGAAGTTCACACTCTCGCTCCCTCATTTGTGCATCCTTTACAAGGTTTCCCAGCTGGTGTCTGCAGGCCTCTTCTCCCTCTTTTATTCATTCTCCTGGTCATTCAGTCTAATTTGTTTGAAACTTAACTTTCTAAATGTTTCTTCCTTATTTAAGAGTTTTTAAACCAAATCCAAATTGCTTTCCTCTTTCAGAGTTTTCTTTCATAACAGCTACTTTTCTTATTCTATCATTATTTCCTTTTATTTCTCAATCTAAACTGTGTCTCACGGCCAGAATGTTCTCCGCAGTGCACTGTTTCTGCTCAGCACCGCTAACAGATGCGCTGTCCAGTGCCGTAGACTTTTATCCGCCTCTTCTCGAGTCGTGTCCCCTGACCCCCACTCCTGGCCTGTTTTTACCTCATCACTCTGGATCCTACCTTTCAAGGCCTAGCTTCTAAATTCGTTTCTTTTAGAATTTTCTTGACAATTCCTGCCTGTTGTTTTTATATCTGTTCTAAACTATATTTTGAACAAGTGTGGTGCACTGGAATTTCTTCAGAGTCAGATAAGTGTGAGTTTAAGTCTTGATTTAGCTACTTACTGACTTTTTAACCTTAAGCAAGTTAACTTTTCTAAGTTAATTTCCTTCTCTATAAAATTTAATTGTGTGCATGCACATGTGTGCACACGCACACACCTTTTTGTGAGAGTAAAATGAGGTAATGTTTAGTAAAGTATAGGTGCACTTAGTTTGGGGATTGTTGCATGAAAACAAAAACCCAGGATAATGGTATCTTAAAGTTGAAGTTTATTTTTCTCTTACATAAAAGAAGTTCAGGGGTAGGTAGTCCAGGGCTGGTATGGTAGCTTCATGTTCATATGGGACCCAGGCTTTTTCTGTTTTTCTTTTTTTAACATTCTAATAATGATTTCTCTATTGAAATTGAGATTATCACAAAATCCAAGGTGGCTGCTGGAGCCCCAGCCATCATAACTACATTCCAAATAGCAAAGGGGGAAGGGAATAAGGAAAAAAGAGCCTACTTTCCAGCTAGGTCAGCTTTTTTAACCAGCCTTCCTGGAAGTCCCTCACAATTCTGCTTATGGTCCCATTGGCCAGTACTTAGAAACATAACCATAACTTGCTAAAAGGAGGCTGTGAATCTTAATCTCTTAGTTAGGTACATTGCTGCACAAAATAAAATTAGTGTTCTGTTACTAAGGAAGAAGAGGATAATATTGGGTGGCTACAGGCAGACTCAGCCGTAGTTTCCTGTTGTGGTACCTGGTAAATAGTGAGCCTTAACAAATATCTTTTTGCCTCTCTTCTTTCTGTTCCATTTAGAGTTCGGTATAGCACTTAATTCTTTGCTTTGTATGTATCCTATTTTTCCAGCTACATGGAAAGCTTCTTGGGGAATAAGGACCATGCACGATAATCTGTTGTGTTTCAAAGCACCTAGTGGAGCGCTTGGCACCCTGGACCGCGGTGTAGGAACTTAGTATGCGTCTGTTAATTGATTTTACTTTCCCCTAGGACCATACTTCTTCTAGCCTCTTATCGGATCCCCACCCCCATTTGAGTATTTAATATTTTTCCTTCAACTACAAACTACCAGGTATCATGAGAGGATAGACTCAGATTTTCATTCCTTTGATAGTTTTCTGTTTTCTAATGCCTTAAAAGTTACCTTGTGGAGTTGATAATCTAATGTTTTATCTTCCTTTGATTAATGTATTCAAATTTTTTTTCTATAACTAGTGCTTCAGGATAAATTCCCAAAATTGAACCTGAAGTATAGCATACATGTACATTACGTATATCTCTAATATTGCTGTTCATGATGAATATATAGAATATGACTTTTCAAAATGCTATGTTTGGAAAGGCCTCAGGAAGTGGTCTTTCTGTGCATATTCACCTCCTCACTGATTTGTTTGTAAGGAGGCTCAATAGTTTGAAAAAAAGCTTAGGTCACATTTCTTTGTCATGCTGTTTTTGAGCTCCTGGTTATTTTTATTTTTCTCCCCAACAATGGATAAGAAGAGAAGAGTAGCTAACTGGAGACAGGAAACTCTCTCCAAGAAGATAAATAATAGTATTACTGGAAACTTCTTTCCCCTCTGCTTGGATCAGACTTTATGTAAAAATGAGATCTTGGTGTATAAAAGTATCTTGGAATTTATATGAGTTCTTTTTATTCTACTTGGAACTCACTAAGTAGAATATTTTAAACATGCTCTATGCTTCCTTCGAATTTATTTCTTCACAAGTATACATTACATCTTAGTCTTTGAAGATACAAATATAATACAATTTCTTTCATACCCCATCACCAATATGCTAATATATTCATACCTTCCAACATGCATATGTGTTATATAAATATATAAATGCTAAGAGATAAAAATATATTCTACAAATTCTTTTTGGAGCCAAGTGAGGTATAAATAAGTAAAATAAAAAGTAATATGTCATTCGTTTATGCATACTCAAAAAGAGTACATAGGTAGACGTACATGAATGGTTACTTGATTTGATGTTTAGGTAGAATATTAAGTGGGTGGGAGAGAGGGGCCTGGTCAGCAAAGTAACCACACAGTGTTAATAAGAATGAGAATACGTATTATCTAAAAGTCATACTAACTTTATGATACTTTTTAATGATGCTTTTTGACTGGTGTACAAATGACACAGAGTCATTTATAAAAAGTTGGTGTTTCTTTATAGTTTGACTTTATTTGGTTTTGTTCTCATAGATGTTTTCTCCCAGATGTCAGATTCCAATGGCTTAATGATATTTAGCAAGTTTGACCAGTTTCTGAAGGAAGTTCTGAAGCTCCCAACAGCTGTCTTTGAAGGGCCGTCCTTTGGTTACACAGAGCACTCAGTCCGCACCTGTTTTCCCCAGCAGGTAAGGACAGTTCTGTAGACTCTAGGACTAGAAGAGCATCATCCGCCCCTCCACTCGGGTCAGACTTCACCAGATTGCTTCCCGGCCAGGGACGTAAGGTCTTGAGGAGGGGAGGAGAAAGAGCTTTAAGTGGGAGGAGTGTGAAAAAGAGGGGGGATGAAAAATTCACCTGAGGATTCTTGTTTGGGAAGGAGGAGAGTCCTCTTCTGAAAAATGATGATTTTTGACATATTTAAATTACTAAAATTTTAAAGAAAAATGTTTGTGTTTATGTTACTGCTACTGGACGTATATTACTGTCCTAAATGAGTTCTTTAAACTGTGAAATACAGGAATTTTGATATAAAACTCTGTACAATACTGGATCATTGTTTCCTGAGCACTGAAGCCACGGAATGCTGTGCACTTCTCTTCTGCCAGCTCAGAATCCCTGGAGGGTACACTGCCGCTTTCATATGGAAGAAAGATAGATTTGTTTCTCTTTATTTGTGGTGTCCTTTTGTGGTCCTGCTCTAGAGGTCGTGTCGGTACATTTCTGAGATCTTAACTATGTCTTAAAGACTCAGAGCAGAGCACACACTGACTATAGCGTTCATTTTATTCAGGTAGAGGTAAGATAAGAGGAGCTTTGTGCTAAACTTAGAAAGTTCTGGAAAGTGGGAAATTAAGAAAACAAAAATCTATGTTAAAACTAATAAGTAAAAAATTAATGGAAATAGGATATTGACATAGTCTGAAAGTATCTCCCCATAAGATGTTAATTAATTACGAAAGAAAACATAGGGACTTTACAGTAGAGAAACCTGCCAGGTCCACTTTAACCAGATGGTCAAAGGCCCTCACACCAGTAGAGGAATAGACGGATATCCCTGCCTCCTGATAGGATGCACTGAGAAGTACCCAATGTCACTACTGTTGTACTTCTCAAGAAAAACACAACCTGAGTCTTATCTGGAGGAAATAGCCCACAAACCCAAATGAAGGGATTTTGATAAAATAATTGGGGGGCTGCCCCCGTGGTGTAGTTGTTGAGTTTGGCACTTTCTGTTTCGGCAGCCCAGGTTTGCAGGTTTGGATCCCAGGTGTGGACCTATACCACTTGTCAGTCATACTGTGGTGGTGACCCACATATAAAATAGAGGAAGATGGGCACAGATGTTAGCTCAGGGTGAATCTTCCTTAGCAAGAAAAGCAAATTAAAAAAAAACTGGCCTGTACGCTTTAAAAATGTCAGTGTCATTAAAGACAAAGACTGAAGAACTACTCCATATTACAGAAGTCTAAAGAGATGTGAAAACTGAATGCAGCTCACCATCCAGGATTTCCTTTTGTTATAAAGGACATTATTGGGATACTTGAAAAAAATCTAAATAAATTTTTTAGACTAGATAATAGTATTGTGTCAATGAATACTGATTTCCTGATTTTGAAATTTGTATTAAATTACGTAAGAGAATGTCCTGGTCGTTAAGAAATACAGTCTGAGGTATTTAAAGGTTAAAGGGGCAGCTCTTCTGCAGTGTTAACAATTGAGGAATCAGGGTTAAGGGTAAATGGGAATTTTTTTGTAATCCTCTTAAAGTCTTTCTGTAAGTCTGAAATTATTTAAAAATAAAAAGTTAAAATATAAAAGGAACAAGTCTAAAGATTTGAGAACTGAAAGGACATTGTAAACTAGATTCTCCTGACCTGTGTTACTTTGATTCACAAAAGAACCAAAAGTAAACACACACACACCCCCTTTTCACATTTAAAGTTCAGAATTCATATTTATCTGAATTCAGACTTTCAAACAATATTTTATAATTTGTTTAGCAATTACTCAACTTTGGCACTAAAGGCAGCACCCATAATGTTAGAGAGGTATTTTTTTTGTTGTTGTTGAAGAATATTGACCCTGAGCTGATGTCTGTTGCCAGTCTTCCCTTTTTTTGTATGTGAGCAGCCACCACAGCATGGCCACTGACATACCAGTGGTGTAGGTCTGCGCCCAGGAGCCAAACCCGGGCCGCCGAAGCAGAGCGCGCTGAACTTAACCTCTAGACCACCGGAGCTGGCCTGGAGGGTTTTTGTAGTAACTTCTGAATTTGTCTACACATTGGCTAACAGTTTTTGTGGATATTAGCCTCTATATGTTGTTTTTCCTCTTAGCATAAATGGCAATGTCAGCTTTTAGCATATTGAAAATATCTCTGTGCTTCAATCTATGCTAACACATTGTGCATTTTTCCCCCTGAATATGCATTTCCCAATGAAATGAGGATGTCAAGACATATCCTGGTACAAGACTGTCCCGCAGGTATTAAAATGCCCCTCAGAGACATGTGAGGATGAGCATGATAAGGAAGCAGCAGATATTTTCCATTTGAAATCATTTCACTGCTGCTGTTTCTTTAGTGGCACCACCACGTCAAATGGTTGCCCCACAGTACCCTAGGGTAATCTTGTATGATGTACATGTGACTTTTCCCACAAGGAGCTTCTTGGATGTTAGGCTAAGAAGTGATCAAATTCTGGAGTGCCTACTATTAAGTAAACCAGTGTCAGGCTGGGAAAGGGAATTTATGCAAAGAAGTTAGAGTGAAGAACAAGATCTGACCAGTGGGTGAAAATTACATGGAATACTAAAACTAACCTTTGATTTATGTGAATAGTATAATGAGAATCTACTATCGGAATAGCAGTTTAAAATGTTGAAGTGTATAGAAAAATTCTAATTGTTAATTCTAAGAATGCTGTCTAGGATTCTGTAGATTACCTTATGCCATAGTTGTGAGACCTTTGAACTCACAACCTGGTTGTTGCTTTTCACCTACTTCAGATTCTTCTCTGTGTTTTGATGGATACCAAATTTGAAAACGTCAGAGAAGCTTATTTCAGTCTAGAGGAAACGTGAGTTTTCTGTGGTCTATAAAGATGACAAAAAAGAAGACTCAAAAGAAACAGAACTATTGATAGAATGACCCCAAAAATGAGACTACTTCGACAAAGAGTTAAATTTAACAAGTTTTGGGTTTCTTTTTGAAAATGGGCTTTTCCCATGCAGTTTGTTTTCCTACACAGGTGTTTCCTTAATGTGGGTTAGCTCATACACCATCAGATAGAGAGAGGACAGTGTTAATGTAGAGTGGAGACTGGGTTGTTGGTTCATAGATAATTTTCCCCAGCATATTAATGTTCTGGGCTGAACAAAGAAATGATCACAATTAAAGAGAAGTACAACTGTTTTAAGAAAGAAGCTGAAAACCCTGCAGAAGTTCCTTTTAGTGAAACAAGTGACTGGTTGGGAGGGTTCATGAACTGCTCCACTTTCTAGAGTGTTACACTAATGAAGCTGTGGGTACAAATGAAGAAGCTGTGAAGACGTTCCTGCCCCGCCCCCACCCCATGCCGAAAAATTAGCTGTTGGAGTCAGCTATCCCCTGGATCTGATAGTTTTGATAAAACTGATCTATCTTGGAAGTTGTATGCCCTTCTCACGAAAAAAGGAAAAAAGGAAAAAAGTGTCTCAGGATTTAAGGCTGAAAGGTATCATCTGACAGTGACTCTTGGTGGAAATGCATGGGGAGATTTATTTGTGCTGGTGCTCTTGTTAGTATTGCCATTGTTTGGTTAGTCCTCCATTTACAAGGCTACGTAGGTTTTTAGGTTTATTCCAACCCTGTTTTTCTCATAGACCTTATTATTTTTAAATCCACAGTTTTGCAGTAGGTACAATTTTCCAGTAATATATGTGTTATATTACAGCATAAATACTCTCATTTTTTAAAATGATATAAAGGGAATTACATACAGTCATGTACTGCATAACGACATTTCCGTCAATGATGGACCGCATATATGACAGTGGTCCCAAAAGATTAGTACCGTATAGCCTAGGTATGTAGTAGGCTGTACAGTCTGGGCTTGCATAGGTATTTTAGGGGAGGAAGAAATTTTCCTCTACCCTTTTAGATTCTTCTGACTGGTCTAAGAATTAAATTGAAATGAGACAGAGTAACAGGAGAAAAACAAAAGTTTAATAACTTGTATACATGGGAGAAACCCAGGAAGACTGAGTAACTCACCAAAATGCCTGAAGCCCTCTCCTTAAAAGTCATGCTCGGCTAGAGACAAAAGAAGATGTCGGGGGTGAGGAGAGTCAGGGATTTTAAAGAGACGGAAGGCAATTCACAGGTAGGTGGAAAGGAATAAACACTTGGAAAACAAGTATTTGGCCACACAGAAACAGAAGAACACAGAGGGGAGCCCAACAAACAGGCCTTTCTAGGTTCCTCCCTGTCTACCACCTAGTTCATGTGATGATGCTTCCTGAGACAGGTATTTTTTATCTGAATTCTTTTAGGCAGTTAAGGGGAGGTAACAAGAAAAACTTTGAGTTTTTTGTTTCTTAAAAATAGCCTAGAATAATCCTCATGTTAGAGAGACACATTTTGGGGTGGCAAATTTTGTTTCCCTTCAGTACACTCTATGATGTTCCCACAACAACGAGATCACCTAACAATGCATTTCTCAGAATGTATCCCTGTCATGAAGCGACACATGACTATGTTTATTTTACTATAGCTTTAATTATTTAAAAAAAAATTTTGTTGCACCACATTAACAAAATTAAGGACAAAAATCATATCATCTCAATAGATGCAGAAAAAGCATTTGACAAAATTCAACATCCATTTGTGATAAAAACTCTTATCAAAGTGGGTATAGAGGGAATGTACTTCAACATAATAAAAGCCATATATGACAAGCCCACAGCTAATATCTTGCTCAATGGTGAAAAGCTGAAAGCCTTTCCTCTAAGATCAAGAACAAGACAAAGATGCCCACTCTCCCCACTTTTATTCAACATGGTATTGGAAGTCCTAGCCAGAGTGGTTAGGCAAGAAAAGAAATTAAAGGCATCCAAATTGGAAAGGAAAAAGTAAAATTGTCACTATTTGCAGATGACATGATACTATATGTAGAAATCCCTAAAAACTCCACCAAAAAACTGTTAG